ACTCTTCCATATTCAACAACGTATACGTGCTTTCAACCTCATCTATGTAGAAAATACATCAAATGTTATTCTAGTTTTTAAGTTTAAAATCAAGGCATTTCAAAATTAAGCATTTAACAGCTCTTTGATTGAACTAACTCCTGACAAAAGCACTAACTACTCGTTGTGGAAAGCAGCTAAAGTTTTAAAATGTCACTGGACGTCTAGTGAACATAGTGTTTCGATCAAGACCCAGAATGAAAAATGGGCCAAGGCTAGTGTAGACAAAGTAAACCTGTTTGCTGAACAATTACAAGAAACATTAACTTCAAATGAAGAGGCCAGCGAAATGACTCTTAATACAGATTGGTTAAAAAGTGGAATGACTATAAGTCCCATTACTACTAAAGAAGTGGTAAGTCAAATACAAAAAGTAGCTTTAAAAAAATCGCCGGGTTTTAATCTCATAACAACAAAAGTTTTACGGGAATTAATCAAGTCTAGCATTAAACGTTTAAACGTTTATATTTAATAAATATATGTTTTAAATTGAAATACGGAAAATGGTAGAGGTAATTATGATACTTTAACCTAAAAAATCACCCAACAACGTATCCTTGTATAGGTCAATATCTTAGCTTCCCATTTTATCAAAACTTTTCGAAAAACTACTTCAAAAGCGATTGGAACGTATTATTGAAAATAAAACTATAATCCCAACTTATCAGTTTCGTATTCCAATGCTATGACACTATTCGACCCTTGAACATTGATTTCAACTATTCAATAATTCTATATACTCATTTTGTAATTATCTATTAGCAATTATTTGCATCAATGGGTTAACTTATTATAAATGAATACAAATAAGGTCATTGCATCTAAAGTAGCAAACCTGTAGCGTATTACGAGTAGTACAAGCAATTTGGATGGCTTATATATTCACATGTATTATATATATAAACTATTGTTTTCAATAAAGAAAATTTTATTGAGCAGTAATGAAATTGCAACAACAAAAATTTTTTATTATTTTTAATTATTTAAATTTTTGACTGTTTCGAGCTGTATGAATAGAAATATTCAATCAAGTTTCCAATCAAGTTTCAAATCGTGGAATAACATTAGCATGACTTTCTCCATATTATATTTCTAGATTAGGTTCTATACTCAAAAAACAAACCTCTACAAAAAAATAGTATTTAAATTTAATAATTAAAAATTAAAAATATAATTAATTAATTTAATTATTCTGCAGCTGCTTTATTATTTTGTTTTAATATAACAGAGTAAGTTAATTTATTAATGAACTTTCACAGCAAATCAACAAAACTCTAAAGTTCGAATATACAAGTCAGGTACGGATTTGGGTTAGTTGGCTAATGAGCACTGACTCTGAGCTTCAAATTTGGCAGGGTATGAGTTCCACCCTTGGTACTTGTAGTCTCAACAAATTATTCACGAATAATTAAATACAAGTAATATCTCCAAGTTCACTGATGAAGGGTATTTAGCAATGCTAGAAACAGGTGTATGGTCAGTTAAAAATTCAATTAATTATAATAATAAAAAATTCTTGTTGTTGCAATTCACTACTATAACAAATTATTTGATATATTGTATAATATGAATAACAATTATGAATTTATTATCATTGACAAGCATCAATTTTCTAAGTATCAATTGATGTACGGTTAATCATAATTAGTTTATAAAATTAAATTATTTTAAAAATATAATTAAATTTAATAAATAAATTAGAAATTTTAAATTATAATTCTTTGACTATATAAAAAATTGTATCTTCCAATTTAAGAGGAAACTTTAAATATGAAATTAAATATAATTTAGTTATAAAATCTTCGGAGTATTGCTAAAAATAGCGCAATTACTGGCAATCCTTAAACTAAACAAAAAATATATTCCTTTTTAGAGTTAATAAAGTTCTTCTTTGCGAACGCACGCATCTACGACAGCCGTAAACGAAGTTATCCCACATACTTGAATCTTAAGTAACCTAAGAGCGACTCCGGAAAAAACTTAAAATATCTCCATATTCCCTTTAATTGTGCAACGTATCGAGCCCATTTTAGTTAAATGCACTTATCTGCAGAGGCTATAAAGTTGCTTTAGTTTTTATTGAATGCAACTAATAGCAGCTCCCTTGCGGCGGGACGTGTAGGCGTACAACGCGTACGAATATGATGAGGCCTTCCACGTTAACCATTGCGGACTTGATTGTTTAAAATGTCTTCCAACGCTTTAACAGAATTTTAAACAATTTCATTTTATATTCCCTCGAATTCATGTTACTTGTTTTGGTCGATTTTAACAAGCTACGCTACTTCGCCATTCTTTAGAGGTCTTCGTATGCTGGAGCTGGTATACATATGCTTACATAATATGGTTTACGTCTGCTATATGGAACTGTGCACAACCTAAAAGGGCAGAAACCAATCAATTTTGTTAGTTATTTTATTTTTTCAAACTTTTTTTTATTTTACTTTCATCCTTTATCGCACGTTCCAAGTTAAATTCTAAAAGGGCTTCTTCTCCGTTCAAGCCATCCTTCCGTCCATTAATTTTTTTATTTGTTTGTCTGTAGAATTTGTTTGGCATAAATTACAAGAACATAAAAATTCAATTTCGTTACTTCTTTGGAACATTTTTATTTTTCTCTCTGTACATACAATTATCAGGAAATAAGCATAAATATTTGGTCAAAATATTTTGCAGACTTAAAGAACCATTAAAACTAACTCATAAAAAGAAGTGATCCTTTTATTATTTCCTTTAATGAGATAGTCACTCCGTAAAATGTAAAATTGAATAGAATTATATTCAATTTTTAGGACCATAATGTTGCGCCATATATATTAAGATCTAGATAATATATATTTATTTATATAGATATCCATAACTTGATATTTTACACTATTTGACGAACGTCGACTATAAAAACATTATTCACCAATATGATGCAACTATTACCAGACTAATATAGAATAAGCTTTATTAGGTGCACAAAATCTGTTAAGGAAACTATAGATGTACCTACAAGAACCAGATTAGTAGTACAACCATACGCACTGTAGTCTTACAATGGAATCAATTGGACTGAAATCAGCATTCCGATTGTCGATTGAAGGAAAATTAAAAATTGTTGTCACTGCAATAGTATAAAATTTCAAGAATAATTGGAATATGACTACTTTAGTTTCGTATCCAAACCTTCAGTTATCTACTAACTGAAGCTTTGCCACCGTCATGGCCTTTTAACCATTTTCATGGTTAAAAACCCATGCTCTCAGTCTATTGCCAAATGACAATACCCGGACACAGTGAAGTCTGGTTACCGGAAATATTTCCCCAGAAAACATCATACCTAGCACTACCAATTACATAAATGATGGTATGTCTTAGTAACATACAATAAAAATGAGTATATACTATAATCTAATTAATGAAATAAAATAAAATAAAATAAAATAAAATAAATTAAAATATTTTTTACGAGTCCACGTACGTCCGTCATTTTAATTTGAAGATATAGGAAATAATAATAGATATTTGAAAATTATGTCGATTGTTCTCTAGCAGTTTTAATTACATAGCAGAATTATAGAATCACGCCAAAATTTACAGTGAATAGCTACAAATTTAACCTAACCTGCTCAAAATCAATATGCGGAACAATCGATACATTATACTGACCCAGTACATGCGGCGAAGAATGTAGACACTCATCTTCTCTGTATAAGTTAAAATATCCCAATAAAACTTTTTTCTGTAAAATAAGATGTTCCACTAAAAATACATGAAGGAAGTTCCACATTTTTTCCTTATCCTACAAGATTAAGTTGCGCTGATAGATCATGTATTTTTCCTCTTTATTTTAACTTTGATTTGGAAGCTAAAGCCTGTTTTTCTTTTCACGAATGTTATAGAAAATACTGAAAATACATAACAAAATAAATATAGAAATAATATTCAAGTGAAGTCGATGCCCAGCCTACCGAACATCTATTTAAAGTTCTTTCGTAAGTCGCCTTCTGCTGTTACTCAATTTTAAACAATCTTTACCAAACTATTATCATGTAATCATAATCCAGATCGAAGAGTAAATCAGGATTTTTTAATGTCGATGACATTTATTCCATTATTTATTCTATTATTTATTCTCCTTTCTAATCACTTTCTAAATTGCATTTCATCAGTAATCTTCCTGTACCTATAGTTTTCGCTGTTTAAAACTACCATGTTGTATTCATGTCGGCACGATATTATTGTAGAAGGGTAAAGTTTGTAGACTTAATTTAATTTAACAATATCCAAAGAAGTTAAATTGATTTTATTTTCTATAAATCGTTCCACAGACAAAGTATTTCTAATTTTACGATATTTTATTGCAGAGTATATAGGGGGTTCATTATCATTATATCTTACCTTAACACCATAATCCATAAATAAAATAGTTTTAATCTCTCTTTAAGTTTAATTATTTTCAACACTCATCATATTTTATTAATTGAATGATATGATTTTTAAAATATCTCAGGCCTATGTTATAGTAATTTAATCTTTTTGAGTCCTTCTATGGATTGACAATGGAAAATTGACAAAAATATCCATTTGCTATAAAGAACAATTTAGTATCATTCTTTGCTCATTGGCACGTTCCCTCATTTCCTATAGTAAATATATAGTAAATGAACGCCTCACCTGCACCTCACCTGCTTTAAATATGTGACAATAATCTCGGGGCTCATTGAAAGAAACTTGAAATTACTTTTCCATTCAAATTTAATTAACAACTTTATAGAAGTATTTGTTAATTCAATTTTGTTAAAGTTTAAATTATTTTATTTATTAAAATATGCTTTCCAGTTCTCTTATTATATTATCTAGACGGAAT